CGGATAGCCATTAGAATCCAGCCTACTGCCTGTCTTTGTAATTAAAGTGGTTTTTTTTTTTTTTTTTTTTTTTTTTTTTTTTTTTTTTTTTTAAGAAAATAGCTACATTTGATCATGTGTCTTCAGAGGCAGCTCTCTTCCTACAACAAAGGTAAGCAGTTGTAACTACTTATGTGGCCTGCAGAGCCTGAAATATTTACTATCTGGACCTTTACAGAAAGAGTTTGCTGACTCCTGCTTCAGAATTATATCCAGTCAGTAAACGGCGGGCGGGGCGGGGGGACACAACTGAACATAAACCAGCATAGATTTAAATTCAATATGAGGAAGAAGTTTCCCTGGGAGAAAAAAAAAATCAGTAATAACATGAGTTGGCACCAAAGGATGCAGGACCAATATCCTTGGGTTGCCTCTTTTTTCTCTACTCTCTCAGTCTGCAGTTACCAAATTCCCTCTGTTGCTTCAAACTACAGCTCCCCCATGGCCCCTCCTCACATCTTCCCAGAGTGACCTCAGCTCCTACCTCTGCCAGTGACACACTGTTCATCTCCATCTGATGATATTTTTTTCTGCTTATTAGGACAGCTTCCCCAGATAAACTAGAAGCACTTGAGGAAGCCTATCCCCCTGTGTCAGCCAGGGAGACCTTGCAGGAAACGGATGACACACTCAAAGCATCTAACTGAGGAGAGTTTGCTAAAGGGACTGTTCACTGAATTGTAGACAGAGCTAAGTCAAACCAACAAAAGATGGGCTAACAACATCCAAGAGCCATTACTATGAAGAATCCTGAAGGGGTATGGGGAAGCAGAAGGTTCCAGAACACAGAGAGAGCAGTGGTTCTCACTATAACTAGAGTTCTGGGGAGAGGGTTGTCCAACAAAAGCTGCAACTTTAGGCAAAGGTGCCCAGTTCCTGTGGTCCATGACCAGGCAGGGCGAGAGTGGGAAAACAAATAGCCCAACCTCTGATCTCCTGCTAGGAGGCCAGCAGGACCTCTTTCTCCCATTGGCCAAACTCAACCAGATTCCAGAAGGTAACGTCCATGTGGTACAGCCTCCACGTGTGATTGGCCAGGTAGTGAAGGATAAAGAGTGGATCTGGAGGGAACATGCAAACCATCCAGCACATCCCCATAGCTGGTTTTCAATAGTGCTTGTTGATTGACTTTGTGTTAATGAATGTTGTGGAAGGCTTGATTACTATAATGATTTGGATACAAACAGTCAAGAGTCTGAAGGATGAATTCAGGGATGTGTGCAGTTCTTTTTCTTCCTCTACAAGCTCAGCTGTCAGAGCTGAAGGTTTAGTGTGGCAAACGTTTTGTCTTCCTTTTGTGGGTGAGAAGAAAAGAGGATACCAAGAAGGAATTCATACTGCTACTCTCATCTGTGCTTAAAAGCTAAATGTATTTCCCCAAAATTAAAAAGAGAATGTTTGCTACTTAAATGTGAGCTGGTAAGAAAGATAACTCACGTTCCAGCATGCTCATCAGTTAAACGCTATCACAGCTACAAGTGTCAAACAGCTACATGGGCAGCCCGGGAATGAGTCTGGCAAATAAAAGAGCACAGTGTGAAATGATGACTTTTTGTGATCAAAAAGCAACCTGGGGAGGGCTGAACAGTTTTGGGTCAAGAAGAGGCCTCTATTTCTGGGGTGATTTTTATTGCTATCAGAGAGAAGACCGTACTTGCTGTGAACATATGGCTACTCCACACACTCCTACTGGTGAAGGCAAACTCGTAGTCACTTGTCTTTCTCCCTGGGCCTTTAGCCCCAACAATGAAACATATTTTTCATTTCAGTTTCACTTATGTATCACTTTCTCTTTTAAAAGGGTGAGTTATAAAGTAAAAAAAAAAATCACCATCAATGAATATTTCAGTGTGTTACCAGGACGCATGTACGCAGACACGTATATGTGTGCACACACATACACTCAAACCCTCCCCCATGCCACGTGACTAAGGACCACAAACTCATTTTCCCCAACTGGAACTTTTTTCAGTTTTTGGACTGTGAGTTTCTTTATTCTGTGGCTCCTCCAGTCTAAAAATGTAAAAGCTGTTGCAAGGGAGCTATAATTTCTACTCAACACTTCAATGATTTGATTATATAAAATAAAAAGTGTAATGAAGTTAATAGCACCTTATTCTTGCAATACATTATGAGAATATTTTCCTGCAAAATCTGAAAGTGGAAATTACCTCTGGGCCCCCTAACTCTCAAAAATATGGGTCGTGATGATTACTGCAATGGACTTTCAAGACTGAAGAACGTAATATGTTTCTCTTTCCTCTATTCAGTTTCCCAAAAGGACATCTTCTCTTCCTGGGATAGTATATAATGAAAGATAAAGAACTTAAGTGACAGATTGTTCTACTTTTGGTGTAATCCTAGCGTGTGAGCTCAGGAAGAGCAGATAACCTCTCTGGGCCTTAAGTAGTCTGAAGGGTGAGGGGACTGGATAACCCATTTTCACTTTAGCATTCTAGATTCAAAAAATAAAATAAAAAACATGCATTGGGAATGAACACTGTACTGTAATGCCAGGTTCGTTGTTCTTGTTTTCTTGTATTTCACAGCAGCCCTTATCCAGAATCTTCCCCACCTGCTTCTTGCCTAGTAATTTGTGTGGCTTCAGCATAGAGCTGAAGAAGAGGGCAACGTCCTGAGTTCGGATCCTTCACAGGCCGGGCATCTTTGATCTCATCCCTGGTCCAGCTTTCTTTCTGACAGTTGGAATTCATACAACATGCTTTCAGGTTCCCATTCCCAAAGAAGCAACTCAAAAAGAATACTCTAGCTGCTATTGTCCCAGAGGTAGCATCTCATTTGAAGAACAGAACATAATACTACAACCGAGGGCAAAATTGTAGTCACTTGGCCTAAGTGCAAATAATGTTAAATAGCATTTAAGTACCCCCCTACACACTGTGATAGGAAAGGACATCCTTTTTCAGAATTTTCCCAATCTGGGCATGCAGATATAGCACAGTCTGCCTCTAGGAAACAAGGAAATGATTTCACCAGTGTAAAAACTCTCCTAAGCATAATACAGGGAGACTTAACAGGATTAAGTTTCTCAGGTGGTGCCAAACAAGTTCTCATTTTCACAGCGTTCTTCTATGCCAGCAAGTCAAGAAACATATTTGCAGCCCTCAACAAGTTTCAGGGTACAGCCATATGCCAAAAAGAATGCAAGCTCGATTTAGGGTTTTCAGCTAGACTGGTAATGTGACAGGATTTTACTTATGCCCATTTCCAATCTATCTTTAGGTAAAATTTAAATATGAGCATTGACACTGTTTCCCTTTTTCTGATCTACAGGTACCTAAGATCCCCCCTGTCTTGTCCTGTCCTATCTTTGCCTTCCCAGCGTTCTGGGCTCTGCGTTCTTCTGTTTTACCAATTCCCTCAACAAAATTCTGCTCATCTGGCTGACATGTGGCAGAGATCCAAGGCCCTTTATTAATGAATGCTACTATGAATTATTGAAAGCCAATAGCTTATTATGTCTAACTTGATAGGGTATTTGCATAAAACTTAAGATCTGAGGCAGAAATCTGTGGCTTTGGGGAACAACCAATATTGATGATATTTCTGGGTTAAGAGAATCTTTCTTGAGCTACTCACATCATACCATATAGCTGTCTCTGTCCTTAACCTAGGCCTAAGACAGACCCTATTGGCATGCTGATATGTAAAAGTGTTTTTCTTCTGCAAAGGAGAGGCTGAGAAATTATCTCTTTATCCCAAGTTTTCCCAGAAGTTGAAAAAGGAATACACACACATACACACATACACACACACACAGACACCCAGACACGCTCACACACCAATGTTACCACATTCAACCTGGAGTTAGCAAGACGTAGGAGGTGAGATGGGGTCAGATCTATAGAGAGGAGGACTTAAAATACACCAAACTTAGCCTCTAAAGGTATGCTGGTCAAGGCACAGCCCAAATAGACACAGATGTTGATTCTGACTAAGGAGAGAAGAATTTGACATAAATGCTTAACACAATCTTCTTCTCAAGTCCCAGAAACTCACATCTATGAACAATTTGTGAGGTGGAGTCTCAGCCATTAGGAGGTAAATAACTAATCTGTCCATGATAGAGCAAGACCTACAGCTGCAAAGTTTGAAAGGTATAAGAGATAAATCAAACCAACAAATAGTTCACTGAACCCCCACTCTGCTAGACTCCAGGCCAGGTGCTGAGAATATACAAGTGAATAAAACACATCCCTATAAAATGTGCACAAGAAGGAACCAAGCTAAATCTCTATTTCAGAAAGTTTGCTTTCTATTTCAAGTTTGCTTGATTTGATTCCTTGCTCTGCTCACAGGCACTGCGTAACAGAAAAGGTGACCCACACATGTTAGCCCAGACACTGCGGAAGAGTAGCCAACCATCAGACTTAGTCTAAAGTGAATTAGCCTGTTTCATTGGACTAAGCAGATTCTCACACCTGATAGCAAACCCTACCAGGTTGTTAAGAATGATGTTCATCAGCATTAAAACTCTTAGAAAGAAAGTTTACAGACAACTGAACTAGTGCACATACCTAAGAAGATCTCCAAGACTTCCTCAGCTCTTCAATATTTGAAGCTGTATTGAATTCTTGTTCAACTTACCCCCAAGGTTAAGATAAATGGGGGATGGAACAACTATATATAGGTTAGCATTTGGCATCAGTATACAGTAGTGTTTTTGTATAGACTGAAGTCTACATCAGCTGGAATTAATATAATTAAATATAATGTTGACAGGTTATGACATTTGCCTATTAAGACACTATACAAACATTCCAATAATTTGCTGGTTTTTGAGTTTGTGAAAAATAAATGAAACAAAATCTCAGGGGATGTTGCTAATGGTGTAACTGGAAGAGAGGTTTCAAAAGCACAGGGTTCAGGAAATAACAGTCAAAGAATAATGCATTCAAAGCCAAAACATATAGAGTGGTAAATGAATATTTAGTACTTACCACAAGACTGCTGTCTAGAGACAGCCTTTTTCCAAAGTCCCTTTTCTCGAGCTGTCTCTTTCCCTCCATGGACGAAGTTATTTATTTTCTTTTGTGACTTATAAGAATCCCCCGTCTGTTTCCAGGGTCACTGAAAAGAGTGAACATGTGTTTTACTATCCAAGTGCACAGTGTTTAGACCTTTGTTTTCAACTGTCTAACCAGAAACAAACATTGAAGTCAAAATATACCTAGTCCCAAATAATAACTATAGAACTGGGCTCTCTCAACTCAAAAGACCACTCCGTGTTACAAATGTCAGAGTCGTCTTTATGGCGGCCCCTGTGTTTTTATAGGTTTTGCTAATGGAGTTGGGGAATGGGTTTGCAGGTTGAATCAGCAGACTGTGGAAAAAAGCAAACAGTCTCCGTTTCATGCCACACTTGCTCCACACCCGTCCTCTCTCTATCAGCCAGAATCATTCTGTTACTGTGCACATCGATGCTGTCTGCAAATTCCATGAGATCAAACCGACAAAACCACGCTCCATAACCAAGAGTTATTGAGCTCAAGGTCCAATGAAGGGAAACTGAAACATGAACTTTGTTGTCAATATTTGATTTAAAAAATATGTAATTTAAAAATATTTGAGGAACATTGTAAGATACATTCCTCTCGGGATAGATTGATTCAAAATGAATGGTGGGTGATGTCATTACTGTCAATGAGTATTTATAGAACACCCACTGTATTTTTACCATATTAGATATAGTTCAGCCCCGAACTCCACTGAGATTGCTTTTTCTAGAATGATTAAGTATTCTGGTTAATAAGGATTCATCATATATGTTAAGTGCTAGCTTCCAATTTTCACAAAGATGTAAAAGGCTTGAAATAAAATAAATGGGTTACAGTCCAGGATTTCTTTCTTTTTTTTTTTTTTTTGAGACAGAATCTCGCTCTGTTGCCCATGCTGGAGTGCAGTGGCGTGATCTCGGCTCACTGCAAGCTCTGCCTCCTGGGTTCACGCCATTCTCCTGCCTCAGCCTCCTGAGTAGCTGGGACTACAGGTGCCCACCACTACGCCAGGTTAATTTTTTGTATTTTTAGTAGAGACGGGGTTTCACCATGTTAGCCAGGATGGTCTCGATCTCCTGACCTCGTGATCCGCCCACCTTGGCCTCCCAAAGTACCGGGATTACAGGCATCAGCCACCATGCCTAGCCCAGTCCAGGATTTCTTATCCACTAGCCAAGTGACCTTGGACAAGTCATTTAACCTCTCTGAAACTCATTTTTCTCAACTATAAAACATGATGATAACAATCAAATGATGCTATGCTGCTATAAAGACACATGCACATGTATGTTTATTGCAGCACTATTCACAATAGCAAAGACTTGGAATCAACCCAAATGTCCATCAGTGACAGATTGGATTAAGAAAATGTGGCACATATACACCATGGAATACTATGCAGCCATAAAAAAGGATGAGTTTGTGTCCTTTGTAGGGACATGGATGCAGCTGGAAACCATCATTCTCAGCAAACTATCACAAGAACAGAAAACCAAACACCGCATGTTCTCACTCATAGGTGGGAACTGAACAATGAGATCACTTGGACTCAGGAAGGGGAACATCACACACCGGGGCCTATCATGGGGAGGGGGGAGGGGGGAGGGATTGCATTGGGAGTTATACCTGATGTGAATGACGAGTTGATGGGTGCAGCACACCAACATGGCACAGGTATACATATGTAACAAACCTGCACGTTGTGCACATGTACCCTACAACTTAAAGTATAATAATAATAAATAAATAATTTAAAAAAAACAATCAAATGATGTATGGGAATATGATTTTTAGATGCCATAAATTACAACTCATATTTAAGTTATAATTACCCACAGATTACATGTAAAAACAGTTAACCTGAAATATTAGTCAACATAATTCAATATATTCTTGATGATTCCGAAGGCACTTTGAGGTATAGAAATTACTCATAATCCTTGTAAATAAACATAGCCACCGTACTGCTGATGCAGAAGAGATGAAATACAATGCTATACCAATTAATTCTTTAATATAATTGAAAAGAAATACGTTCCACAACTCTCAGTTACTCCAAGTCTGACATGGATCAAACAGGCAGGATTTCATGGCCCACAGGATGCGGGCTCTCTCTTGGTTTTCTTCATCAAGAGGGTTGAGATGGCGGTGCCTCAGATGGGGAATGCCCAAACTATAGTCAATCATGGGAAACTGATGGGCTCCTGTTCCAGCTTAGGCTTCTTCCTCCATCTTAGTCATTTCATCTCTTACTTTCGAGAACACTAATTTTAATACATCACTTGTCCACTCAGAGACTCTTAAGAGTTCAATCAGAATTTAGGATAAAATCCAAATTTTTCAATATCATTGTCTAAAATTCTAGGCAGTATTTTTCAGAAAAGAAGTTAGTTCTGTATACTGCTATAGGCACGACCACTCGTCAACTGAAATTTGTTTGGGAGGCTGCCTTTTCTACTTTCAGCTGTTCCTGCCCACTTTGTAGCATTCCCCCCTGCCCCAGTCTCAGCGACTGGATACACTGGTAGTTCAGAATACCCTCTGCAATAATTAACCAGCTAGCGACTACTCAGGCCCTCATATTTCCCTCTCCACCAAAAACACACCCTAAGTCTTGATCCCAAAGAGCATGGGAGTTTGATAGCTCACAATAGATTGTGCTTTGGCCTTTAGCACATATGCACTGAGGGCCTACTGTATGGAAGACAGTAGGAATACCCTAGGAATACTGTATGGAATACAGTCCTTACATGTTAGTGACACAGTCATGTACAAGAAAAACCAAGTCCCCACCTTTGTGGAACTCATATTTTAGTGAGGCATATAGAAAACAAGCAAACAAACAAACAGCTCCAAACTGTGGTAGGTACAGTATGAAGGAAATAACCCCCAGCAGGTAGAGAAAAGTGCCAAGTGGGCTGGCGGGGTGGCTCGCGCCTATAATCCCAGCACTTTGGGAGACTGAGGCAGGCGGATCACCTGAGGTCAAGAGATCGAGACCATCCTGGTCAACATGGTGAAACCCTGTCTCTACTAAAAATAAAAATAAAAAAATTAGCTGGGCGTGGTGTTGTGCGCTTGTAATCCCAGCTACTCGGGAGGCTGAGGCAGGAGAATTGCTTGAGCCCGGGAGGTGGACGTTGCAGTGAGCTGAGATTGCACCACTGCACTCCAGCCTGACTGATGAGAGAGAGAGACTCCATCTCAAAAAAAAAAAAAAGGGAAGCACATGAACAGGGATAGCTTTTGGATTGAGTGGTTAGGGTAGCAGCCAGCCATGTAAAAGATGGGTAAAGATCATTTCAGGTAGAGGGAACAGCCTTTCATCTGGGAAGGAATCGGAAAAGAACTTTGTTAAGAGAGGACCTATTTCTTAGGAAGAAAATAGCCAGGAAGAGAATGTGTGAAAAAAGTGCTGAATTGTAGGCAAAAACTGCAGAGGCTTGGAGGCTAATGTATCTCTCTCAGCAATTATTCTAAACACAAAAGTTAATCTTAGGTTTTACATTTCCTACCTTACACCCTACTAGCCGGTAACATTCAACAAATTATTTAACCTATTTAACCTTCCACTGCTTACTCTATTCGATGGCATTAATAGTAGGACCTTCTTCATAGTAGGGTTTTGTGATGATTAATGAGACAAGTCATTGAAATAGTTAGGCTGGGGACAGATACATGTACGTAAGACTTAAATATTAGATATATAGATCATACCTTCTGGCAAATATGATTAAACTCATTAAGAGCAACTCTAGCTACTGAATTTTATGCTTCTTCTTAGGCAGATGAGGCTGTCATTTTGGGAAATGGGGATCCTTTTGATAGTTCTCAAATAGCCCAATGTGCCTATGTGGAAAGCTGATTCAGTAGCTTTCCAAATGGATTTGGTCAATTTCTTTTCATATTTTATGGTACCAACAATATAGGCAGATGTAATATTCAAGTTGTTTAGCAACAATATGTCACAAGCGTTAGCCAATCATAAAGGTACAGTCCAATCAGGGTTGACAATGGCAACAAGCGGTACAATTAGAGCAGTGTATCCTAGCCAATTCCAGCCTAACTACACATACTGGCCCCACAGGTGAAAATTTGAGAGTCAGACCATAAAACAATCATGGAAAGGGTCAGAGTAAATTTATCCAAGTGGATCAAAGGAAGACTAAAAGAAACAAAATGGCAACCAGGATGCAGCAACATGAAAAGGGACCTCATTAACAAAGAAAATATCAGAAAAGCTGAAACACTGTATTTATTTCACTATTCGGAAAAGACTACATACATCCAGCAGAGACGGCAGATCCAGGGGGGACATGAGTATATCATATCCTAAAGATGCCTGGGATTACCTGGGCCGTTTGTACCATCCATCTAACTCAACTAATTCAGAGACTAGGGTGATCAAGCAACCTTCCAATTTTATTTGATTCCTATGTAGTAACACTTATAGAAGAAGAATGTGCTGACCAGCAAATATAAGTAGACAATCTTTTGAAAAATTCCATTTCTAGTGCAAACTAAAAATGACAATTTGACATCTGACTCTTTATATTTATTATTTATGTATTTGGTTAGTATATTAGTCAGCTTGGGCTGTCATAACAGAATAACATAGACTGAATAGATTACACAACAGACGTTTATTTTCTGCGCTAGCAGAGTTGATTTCTGGTGAGGCCTCTCTCCTTGTCTTGCAAATGGACATCTTCTCACTGTGTCCTCACATGGCCTTTGCTTTGTGTATGCACATCCCCGTGTCTCTTTCTCTAAGGACACCAGTCCTAGCACATTAAAGACCCACACTTACGACCTAATTTAACCTTCATTACCTCCTTAAATGCCCTATCTCCAAATACAGTCACATTGGGAGTTAGGGGTTCAACGTATGAAATTTGCAGGAGACGTGGTTCAGTCCATAACAGTTATTTTCAGTCAGGTTTCAAATCGTATCTGAGTGTTCTATTAATCAAATTCCTAAGTCTAAAACACTAAGGGAAACCTCCGAGTGGTGGTGGTTATGGTGACTGCCTCCAGACTCCACGCCTCTCTGCTTGTTATGTGACCTTTGGA